AGGGAAATATGAAGAGGGGTGCCGGGCTGTGCCGAGCCCCACAGAGCTCGTCAGCGAAGCAATACAAGGCAATAAACACCCCGAGCATGGGGGAGAGAAAGTGCAGCCACAGCGCGAGCGGCTGGGGAGGCTGCTGCGGGCAGAGGCCAAGCTGTCTGTGTGCCATCTGCCATCGGCATGCTCAGGTCAGGACAAGCCAGGGACGCCCACCAAGGTGCAGGAGGCCTCATCAGCTGCATTTTGGACACATGCTCCATCCTCCATGAGGCTTGAGTGCAGAAAAATGTCCGTCTCAAGAGGCTCAGGCCAGAAAGGATGTGTTGGACTGGAAGCAAGATGTGGGAGGCCAAGCTGTCTGTGTGCCATCTGCCATCGGCATGCTCAGGTCAGGACAAGCCAGGGACGCCCACCAAGGTGCAGGAGGCCTCATCAGCTGCATTTTGGACACATGCTCCATCCTCCATGAGGCTTGAGTGCAGAAAAATGTCCGTCTCAAGAGGCTCAGGCCAGAAAGGATGTGTTGGACTGGAAGCAAGATGTGGCATTAGGAACAGTATCAAACACCCTGTTGTCTACCCAAACATGGGCGCGTGGCTGTGGCTGGGAAAAGCCTGTATGTAATTGATTCAGCATCTGCTTGTGAACAGATGCACAGGTGCTGCTACAACGCTGCAGTTAAAGCAAATATCAGTCCAGGATTAAGGACTAATGCTATATTATTTAGCTAGCTGGCTTATTAGGAACACACATAACCAGTGCGGTGCCATATATGTTATTAGCTTACCTGATGAAAATAGCAACTTGTCCTACTGAAGGCTCTTAGTAAAAATAAGTGTGAGGGAGGGCGTGTAAGAGCCAAGCTGAATAGGGAGGAAGAGGAAAAGGCTGCATATTACAAGGCCCTCAACAAAGAACGTAAATAAGCATGGCTTATGGAGAACGACAACCTCTGTTTTGGTTGTAGAACATGAATGGACACAGACAGGCAACAGGGCTGCAGGGCTTTGTGGTTTGTGTGGGTTCTTGAGAAAACATGGGAGTAGTACAGCAACATAGACGTGCGTATGTGTGTGTGTGCCTACAAACACATATGTGCAGACAAATACAATTATATAGACTGTGCATTTATATATTGTATAATGTACAGTGTAAATATATATGCTTGTCTAGATAACTATGTATTTATTATGTATGTATGACGTGTATTATTAATAGTTCTTACATCAAGTGTCATGATAGAAGAGCTACTACTAAAAATCCACACAAAAATTAACTGCATAAAAACGAGGCCGTGCTCCTTTCATCTTTGATTGATACCATGCGTGAAGCAGCTCTTCTTATGTCAGTCAGATGTGCTTAGACATGCAGGATGATTAAGATTATTTGGATTATTGCCACCACAGTAACTGTGACACTCTAAAGGGATTGAGAGCTGGTGTGGTGACTGTGCGGACCTGAAGACCTATGTAAGTAGAACAGCAGAACATAAATTTTTAATGTAAAAAAAATAAAAATAGAAGAAACAGCTTTGCTTACCATTAAATGCCCTTAAAAGTTTGAGTGCATAGCTCCACCAGACAGCCGGAGAAGGGCTGGCTTGCACAAAGCAGGTCAGGGTGACGTTCAGCCCCACTGGGACTGTCAGGTTGGTGTCAAGGGCTGAGGTCAGGGGCTTCATGCAGCTGTTGAGCTCCACTTCATGAAAAAACTTCCCTGCCCTGAATTTCGGGCTTGAGCAAGTTAAATAGGAATTCATCAGAATAATAGGTGGTCCGACTGACTTGATAAACTGGACAAATCCCCGCAGGCGACAGTCGCAAATCCAGGGGTTATCATGAAGGGCCAGGACAGCATTGGAAAGAGTTTCTATCTGCCCCTCCGCCCTCTGGCTTCTCTGGTAGACGGGCCAGCTGTAGAAGACATCCCTAGATATGACAGTAAGCTGATTTGAGGATAGATCTAAATAGGTCAGATTGGGCAGATAGCGGAGCGCGTGTTCTGGAAGGACATCCAGCCGGTTGTGTTTCAGATCCAGGATTTTCAGAGCCGGGGTGTCTTGAAATGCTGTCCATGGCACCGAACTTAATTTGTTCCCTTGCAAGCGTAGCTCCTTCAGAGCTGGCAGATATTCCAGGCTCTTGATGTGCATCACCGTGATGTTGTTAAAATTCAGCCAGAGATACTCCAAGGCACTAACATTCTCAAAAGACCCGCGAGGCAATTCTGTTAGGTGAGAATTTTCTATTCTAGTTTTCCGGATGTCCTGAGGAATGTTTGCAGGGATCTGCCTCAGCAGTGCAGACATGCAGAGCAAACTCCTAAAGAGGAAACCAGAAAATTCTTCAGCTCGCACACCACGTTCATGGCTAACAAACCAGTTCCCCGTACAGTCCTATAAGCACTTGAATAATTATAAGGTATTGTATAGAGGGCATGCATAAGCCATGCATCCATCCTTCAGTTTAGTTTTACACCCATTTTCCCACAAAGACTACAATTAAGTCATAAAAATTGCTATGTATGCAACTACATATCTCAGGGAAATAAGAGAAATGTCGTTCTATGCTCAAGCTAGTACTTTTCAAGAATTAGAGGAGGCATACTATGCGGCCATGTGTTTGGTGCTCGCAACATCAGCAAATATATATCGGGAATCTCCGAGTTGCTTCGCTGTGCTACAGCTAGAGAAACTAGCATTCTTACCTTCCAAAGCTGTCTTGAGAACAAGCGCATCCTGGGACACAAGACGAAACAGATGGGTTTATCTCATGGAAGGCCAGAAGAAGAAGAAAAATGTGACAAATAGGGTCCATATTCTCCTTTAAGAAAGCACCGTGCAGGGTTTGCACCAAACATGCCAACAGCCTCCAAGAAGCAAATCCTATTAGGTGAAATCTTCCTTGACGCAGCAATAAATCCTGCTGGGGACCCAGCCCTAAAGAAGACCTGTAGTATGGTTCGTAGTCAGTGTCGAAGTGCTAAAAATCACCCCTGGGACCACTCTTGGCATTTATTCTTTAGCTGTGGGGATTTTGACAGACATATTTATTTGACTGATAAGTTGAAGATGGAGCCAAAACCTCTTCCGTTCCTGAATCCTTACAAATAGTTAACCAGACCTATTTCATTTTTTTTAATTCCAAGTGTTCTGTCTCGATTGCCTATACTTTAATGGCAGTTGTCTAGGCAGAAAACCACAGTAAGGGCCAGGCCTCACAGTGCAGGCAGTGCATAGTGCCGTCTTGCACAATCCATCAGGCCCCAAAACCCACCCACAGCTCTGTGCGGGATTCACTATTGCACATGGTGAACGAGACATCTACTCCCCACACTTTGTTGCTCTGTCACAGAAACAGAACAAGTATGGCACTGTTTTTCCTCTGAAACATCTTTTGTTTTTCCCCCCACTATCTCCATTCTTACATGATAGTAATGAAAACAGCAACATCACTGTAGCCAGTCTGTGGGCTGCTCTGAGAAAGCAATATCTTTGAAGTTAATCTCTATTTGATAAATATAGAATTTCTGTGCTATTTCAATTTTTTAAGTTTGCTGGTTTCCCCTGGAAGAGACGTAATGAAAAATTCAGTCTAAATAATTCTGTTAGATGGGATTTGGAGCAACCAGATTTTTAATTTGTTTTAAATCCACAGTCGCGGGTTTTGGTTATGTTTTCCAAGCAGCGCTGCGTTCTCCTGGGGCCATCTAGTGTGTATGGGCTTCATCGCAGCCCGCAGAAGGCAGCGTGCTTCTGGAAAAAGGCTTAACCTCATTGCCAGTACATGTGAAGCTGGGTCACAAATCAAGATTATCCTGAACCTACTTAACCTCTAACCTATGCGACCAGAATAGAAAAATATTTATAGTGTTGCAGCTTAGATCTATATATGGCTGTCGGGACATGTGCAATAGCGTAGATCTGTAAGCCTACAGAAGGCGTAGGATTGATTCCACAGCTTTTAATCAACAGACAAATCAACAAAATGAACTGGTGGGGAAAAGGCTGGGGACTGGTGCAGCTCTTCATGATTGCCTCCTGTGTACCAGTGGGCCTGTTGGGCTGCCACTGCTCGCTATGCCCAGTCTAACCAAGACCATATGGGACTTTTTTTTTCTGTCCTTTTTTTTTTTAAACTGCAACGTTCTTTATTTATCCAAGGCGCAGTACATGATATTTCAACAGCTGCCCTGCACTTTTATATGCCAGTAATGCATGAGTGAAGGAGCAAGGCTGCTGGGCTGTATCACAGCTGGAAATCCCCCACCTGACTGTGGCAGCTGCTGGGGTATTTCTTGGTGACGCTGTTACTGTTGCCATGAGAGTGGCACCGGCACAGACCCTAAGAGCCAAGGCAGATGCTCTTTATGCACCTTCAGTGTAGCTCAAGCAGCAAAGGGAGCGCCCATCTGCAAGGCCAGCTGGCGGCACTGAGTGCTGCAAGGGGAGGATGGGTCCTTCCTGGTCATCCTCCAGCCACTGAAGCAGAGGGTCCCAGGGACCCCTTGCCACCCTGCATCAGCACGGGCCACGGCAGAGACAAACGCCACTTTTATAATAATAACTTTGTAATTTTATGCTTTAATATAACAGCTGATACTATTACTTGGTAATAATAGCAGTAAACAACACATGACACGGTTAGTTAGGCTATAGCTGGGAGTCAGGAGCAAAGCTGGGGTTTGCCCCTGTGTGTGCTGCGGGGACCAGGAGAGGAAAGCTTTCACCAGAGGCAAAACCCCATGTTTTGATGGTGTTCAGCATTCGAGGTGATGGGGTGCATTCCCATGATGGGAGAAATGGCTGAAGTCCACCCAGGTCCAACCATGCTGGCCAGGTATTCAGGAGGGAATGGAGATGCCCCTCAGTGCATGGGGTTCACAAGGGCGACGTGCTATAAAACTGCCCACTTTGTGAGGTGCACACATGCCACCAGTGAGGCCGCTGGTTTGGGGACAGTTCAGTTGTCTCCAGTGCTAGGCGGGTCAGCAGGAGAGGTTCACCGCTTCTGAGGCCTGACCTTGCCTAAACCTCCTTTGCTCGAGGGGAAGGCAACTCATTTACTGTCTCCACATCTCTCCTCAATGGCTTGCAGGGAGGGTCTTAAAGTATGTGGCAGCTGTGTCTTAAAAAATATCTTTCATGAACAGCATTATTTATTAGCATGTTTATATATAGAGTAAAAACTATTGGCAGTTTTTCCCCCCCATGTACATCTTTGGGCACAGTACAGGTGCATAATAATACCCAATGTCCTGGGTTGCAGTAAAATTTCACTCAGGCTTCTCTGTTAGAAAGAAATACATTAATTTAAATAAATGAGCTGATTAACAGAAAAAAAAAAGAATTGCAGTTTTTGTCTTTCTTCCATGTGGGCTCTCCTCCCAGTCCCACCTATCTTCTCCAAAGCCAGAAAAAGGCCTTTTAAAGAGTGGTGTCAGTACCATGGGCCAAAGCTTTGGCTATTTTCAGGCTGATATTTATTTGCTGCCTGAGAGGCCATTTCTCTAAATATTCCCAAATGTCAAGTGTACTCGGAAGGTCCAGTATTAACCTGAGAAACTAGTGGTGAACCACTTTTAAAAATCAGATGAATTAGTGCGTAGACAGTCTACACACTCTTGGGAGGGGGTGGGGGTGGAAGTAAAGGAAAAAAAAAGCTCCCCCAAACTGTGTTAGCTGCAGCCTTTATGTTTATGTTCCCAACTGGAGTGGGATTTTGTTGCCTTTTTAATTCAGTCCAGTTTATGCCTGCCTGTATATTTAATGGTCACTTTTGTGACAGCAGATGTCCACTCAGTTCAGCTGCTCCTTAACATTATGTGGCTTCCTGGCCAAAGTCAAAATGCAGAACAAGCTGTCTAAAACCCAAGCTGTCAAAACAGATCTCTATAGAGACGTTATCTACTAATCTATGGTAAGTGGAGTTTAAGAGACTGCGCTTCTTGCCAAAGCAAACACTGAAATGATGCCCATTGCACGCTCCCAGCAATGGCAAGGGACTCAAACTCCACCTTGAAACGGCAGGCACATGCAAGTCTGTAAGAAATCAGGTCTGGGCAGATGCTTTACAATCACAGTCCCTCTGCCAGGGCTCTCAGTGTCAGAAATCCCTGCTGGGGAGGACTTACAAGGTGAAGGCTGCCATTGGGTACCTGTAACACCAAATAGTATGCACGTGGAAAAGCAACTTTCAAAAAAGACGAGGGTGACGTGAAAAGAGGTAAAGACGACTTTTCCTTCACAACCCTTCAACAAGAAGAACATCAGTGGTACATAATTGCAGGTCTTTCCTCAATTTTTGGGGGTAACCCCGTGCCCCTGGTAGGGTCCCCTGGGGCACCACAGTTCCAGCTCCACTGCAGCAAGTCCCACAGAGTGCTGGCAAGGGGGCTCTGCCAGCCCCCTTTCACCTCTGGAGCAGAGGAAAGGCTTCATCTCTTGCTCAGGGCGGGAGTTAGAGTCCGTGTCCCACACCAAAACCAGGAGCTGAGGGATCCCGTGGTGTGGGACTGCAGCTGCCCCCCCATCTCCACCAGCAGCCCCCAGCCCTCGGGAAATATTGGCCCCACTCCAAGGTTCGCTGCTGCCTCTGAGAAGCTCCTGGTCCTGCTCCCTGGGGTGTACACACTTAGTTCTCAGCAGTTTGAACTTTTGCTGGCAATCGCTAAATTCTCTCTTTTTGATTTTGCTTAATAGGAAAGGGGGGGTGGGGGGGGGGATATTCTTTTGCTGTGTTTCAGGCAACAGCTCCCATCTTCTATCCATGGACTTTAAAGCTGGTGAAGCCCCCACTAAGCCGCAGTGCTGTAGCACCGACTATTGATTAAATGCATCCTGGAACTTCTCGGACATTGCCAGAACAGTCTGACATTGAGGAACTTTGATGTCAGCTTCTTCAGAAGCTTTTTAACCTTTAGATTTTATTTTACCATTGGAATACTTTCAAGGTCCTTCTTCAATGGCCATTCATTTGTGAAAATATCTTGAAAAATGTTTCACTGTCCTTCTTGACAGGGTCCTTCTTCATTGTTTTCACAGATTTGTATATATACACATGCACGTTTTTGTGTCCTACATGTTTTAATCATTTGAAGACCTTTTAGTCTATTCTTTCGGGGCATACAGAAATAAATGTGAAAGTGTCTGCACTTAATGCAGTTGTAGCCTTCCAATGTGTTTAAATCACATTGTGTAAATAAGGTTTTTGCCTAAACATTACTTTGCATTTGTGGAATTTATATATATATGGCATTAACAATATTGCAGAGCCAGTATTACCTTTTGTCTATGTCTGCTCACTAGATTATCTGGTCACTTTTTAAGATGTTTAGAAAAATATGTTTCAAAGCTTCAACATATTTCTTACATTTCTTCTTACACTTCAACTACTTGCAGCACCCCTTTTTAATTACTTTAGGCACATTAACTCATTTATATTCTGCTCAGTTCCCTCATTTTTATAGCTGCTTTTCTCCAGAACCTTCTAAGAAAAAGAAATAACAACAATTTTTCAGTACAGTTCAGAGCTATTGGGAGTAATTTTTAAAACACTATTACCTTATTTTTGAAACCTTATCCTTAATTTTTCAATTTTCATATAATCTGATTTCCAAAACAAGTATAAAAAGGTACTGTGGAAGGAGGAGCTTGTCTTTGTTATGTATCACATGAAGTGTCCATCAAGGAGTAACTCACACTGCTCTCCAAAGTACTCAGCTCAGCCCAGGCAGCCAGCACAACCTGCTGCCTAATGCAGGTGGACAGTTACTTTATTCTGAAGTATTACTGAAGTGGTCCAACACTCATCTGAGAATAAATTTTAAAACAGTTTAATAGTAAAAGCAGGGAACATTGTAATCCAAGAGATTCCAAAATATATTGCTTGACAGTGCCAAAATATTTGAAACAGATCCCAAAAAGCAAAAAATTGGTCAAAACCTGACACAAAGAGATCATTAACAGAGGAAACATTTTCCAAGGAAAAAGAAAATTGAACATAACAAAGTGTCAAAGAAAAAAAAATTAAATTCAACTAATGCAGTAATTCCAAAAGATATTCAGAAGTTCATTTTGGTTCTTACAGCATACATTTGTCCAAGGATTTGCTTTAGCCGAGTAAGAAATTGAATATTCTCCTTGCCCGAACTCCGAGCCAGCCCCATCCACATGCCTTATGACCAGAGAGGGAAGCTTGCCTGAGCTAACCCTGCTGAAACTAGGCGCCTATCACCCCTTCGGTTAGAACAACAACAAAAAATCCAGCGAGGTATTTATCTGCTGCTTTACATGCTGCATACTACTGAAAATCTGACCCAGAGCCTTGAAAGTCGCATTCAGCAGAAAATCAGTTAATTAATGGTTTGAAATTTGACCCGCAGTTTAGCAAGGACAGGGTTTCTCTTCCAGCCGACACCAGATGACAGAGTCTATACACGTTCCTATCTATTGCCCATCATCTCGTGTGAATTACCGTGTGGTAGAGAGTGAGGCTTGTTTTGGAGCAGCAGCAGCTGAGAAGCTGAACCGTGACGCCTCACCTATGAGGCAGTGAGAACACCAATAGGAAACAGAAAAGAAAAATCATGTTTGTTCTACCTGGGATCACTATTTATTCTAAGTGCAAAAAATATCCAACAGAGTCTGTAGAATTGAACACATCCACAGTAAAGGTCATAGGATGATCTCTCCATCTGCCCTTCCAGCAAAGCGTGGCAGTGCCTTTTCCACTGCGGCTCATAGACCGTGTGTCGGAGCGTGCACCGACGGAGCAGGCGAGAGCTGCTCCTCGCCAGGGCTGGGTGTGGCAAATTACCCAGCTAGCGTCTCCAGGTAGCCAAAAGGCAAACACCTCTCGCTCCCAGCCAGCTCCTCCAAACCTGGCTTGCAGGGAAGCCCTTGGCAGCAGGTCCGCTCTGTTCACCTCAGGAGAGCTTTAGGACAGCCTCGACTCTTCAGGGCTGGCTTGTCCATTCAGGGCCCTGTCAGGCTGACTTCTCCACAGCGCAGCAATGCTGCTGCAGGTGTGGGCAGAAATCAGGCTCGACAACACAGCAATCCTTGCAACTCTTCCCAAAAACTGCTACAGGAATAGTTTTGTTCTACCTTGGAGAGAGACTCTAAAAATCATCATGGGAAATGCAACTGTGTAAATAAATAATAGATCTATTCCATACTATATATTTCATCAATTAATTTGTTGTATTAAAATACATAATTTTGCAAAATGTACTTGTAAACCTAAAAATCTATGCAGTCCATTGATAGAAGTAGCATGCATTATTTTCTACAGGGATTGACAAATTCTCCCAATGCAAGATAAGTTTTTTATCATCAATGTCAGGAATACAGGGAGCCCTACCAGGAACTGTTGTCATGTATCTCCTGTTGCTCCTCTGTACATTGAGATCAGACGACTTGCTTTTTCCATCAGGCCAAGTAATCTGACATAACTGAAACCCTTCTGCACGAGGAGGACTTGCAAAATCCGTACAGGGCTCCATTCCAACCAGTGAATTTTGTTAACCCACACTATATGTACACGTCTGGAATGTGAGTGGAGAGCCTTCCCGTACATTTACACATACATATTTCAAAACAATTTAGCAAGCTTTATCAGTTCAACTTGGCTGGATCCCTGCCATTCAACATTTAGCAGAACATATATAATTTTCTTCATGAAGAATACTTATTACAAAGAGAAAAACATTATATACAGTATTACTACATGAGGGACTGGAGTGGAAAATTATACAGCTGGAAAGTGCTTTGTGATAAGCACTCAGAACCAAATTCCAGCGGAGCTGCAGGACTTACTTAACTGCTTAGCTCACCCTGCCTATGCAAGTACAATTAGATGAATATCAGACAGCTTTTTTCCGGGTTCTTGAACTTGTAAAACGTTTGAAACCCAGAAGTCCAAACTGAGCCTATGCCACCACTGATGCCATGGTGGAAGTATGGCTGGTATGTGCCTGGCCAGCAGCCTACCACCGCATAGCGTACCTCTGCTCTGACAGAGCAAGGGATTTCCGCGACCAAACCGTGAGTGCCTGGCTGAGCCCTCTGCTCTCCATCACTGGTTTTGTCAGGAGAGCCGGTAGCAATGCCAGCGCTGGTCTGGGAGATTTTTGCAGAACTGTCTAATGTAGGTTTTTCAGTATGATTACAAAGCATCACAATGCCACACACATTTTGCAGAGTAGGATATTGTTTGATTTTAACTAACACAGCTGATATAAAACATACTCTACTAGTTGCAACACAGCTAGAAAATGCCAGCTAGGCCTGATACTGAAAGACCTGTGTGGTATTGTTGTTCAAGAATATCCTAAGAATAGTGATTAGGGTCAAAATGCAATCATAAAATGCTCTCTGTTACATATTCTTAGGATTAGATTGGGTTTTGTATCTTGATTTCTCTCTTTGCGTATTTCTCTGAATCCAGAGGATAGAGCTGTTACTGTGTTGGACGTATTAGGAAGGGTTGCTGTACCTCTGTGTTTAGTGATCTATTAAGCATCAGGCTGCATGTTTCATGCAAACATGGGGGATGTAAAAGACGAGATTCTCAATCTTCACCTTCATGGATATTTATAATAAAGCTATTAAATACTCCCCTGTTTTTCAACCAAAAGAACGTCAAAGAGCTGAGAATAAAATACTTAGCATATTGCAGAGCAGGTGCTAAGCAATACCAAGCAGAACATGCTCAGAAATGTTGCTTAATGTTCTCACACTCAGTGTGCATGCTTCATTTTGTGAAAATAAAAGTGGTCCAGGAGAACAAGTCCATTATCACAGAAGCTTTTGACTGGGTACAAAACAGCAAACCCCAAGTGGGGTAAGCAACATGTTTCCATAAATCTTGGGCACCATATACCCTCTTGCATCCATCCTCCTCCAGAACATGTTGGAGACAGAGGCATTGACAGGGAGGCCTGCAGTGCTGGAGCAGAGTCGTAGATACAGCCATGTGCTTTCCACCTAGCGAGCTGACAATCAGCCTGGTCACCATCAGCAAAAATATTCGTTAGGTTGCCCCTCTATCTTTGGTATTGCTTCTGAGTCCACACTGGATCGGGCAGACAGCAGCCTGTTTGACTCATCGGGGGTATGTCTAGTCAAGTATTCTCCTTCCACGCCTTTTGCCTTGGCCCCAGGAGACAGGCTTTCAAAGGTGACATAGGACTCCTGAATCTCCTTGGGTTTCCGCACAAAGCATTTTTTGCAGCGCCTTTTCAGTGCTCCACAGCAGACCACCAGCGTCAGAGGAACAGCAATGACACAGGCCACACTGATGACAACCACATTGATGAGCTTCTGGGTCCCTCCAGCGCTGGCAACTTCATCTGTGGAAAATATGATGCATTGCTCCTTCCTAGGGATCAGCCCTTTCACACAGACACACACGATGTATTTGGTCTTTGGCAGCAGCCCATAAATGGTGACCTTGGTCTTCCCTGGCTCCACGTTGATCCGCCGCATGTCTCTCTCTCCAAAGACGGCATAGAGGACACTGAACACTGTCGTGTTCTTTGCCAGAGGTGCCTTCCAGGCCAGGGTGATACTCTGGTCGGTGTCTCCTATCACCCTGACAGACCTCACGACTCGCTCTGGCTCCTGCTGACTGGTAGCTGGGCTCACCAGCAAGTTTCTGGGGTTGCTATCTTGTGCCACATCTGGGAGGAGGAGGCCCTCTCCGATGCCCACTCCAGCCCCCACGGTAGGCATGGTGGAGGTGGTGATGACGTACCTTGCCACTAGCTTGTCATTGTAGGCAGCTGCCTCCATCCCGTTCGCCTTCCCACTCCATATGCCTTTGGCGTTAGAGTTGGGGTCATCCGTGCTTTCTGAGTCTGTGATGATGAGAGATATGAATGCCTCCGTTGCCCCCAGAAAATTCTTTGCTTTACAGATGTACTCTCCAGAGTCGAGATAAGAGACTACAGGCAGGCCCAGAATAGACCAGCTCATCCCATCGCTGGAAATCTCTTGGTGAACTGCAAGAAAAGAAAAATGTAAAATAACTTTGCAATAATCAATAAAAGTAATAACACATTTTGTAAACTATTAAGATTCAATCAGCCAAATGTTTACTCAATACGGTAGGTTCATCATTTCTTTTTGTCACCAAGAACATTACAAAATCAAAGTAAATCCAAGAAAAGGACATTAACACTAAAAAATAGGTTATGTTGGGATTTACACTGTTTCAGAGCGAATATATTTGAAGCATTTGATGGTATTTCCTCCCAGCTGATGTACAGTTTGAAAACAGAAAAATAGCTGAAAAAAAATAACCCTTTTATGGCTAAATTACTGCAAGTTTTTATATTGAGCCAAACACAGGGAAGTCCGAACACTTACCACCAAATGACATGTACCCAGCTGAGTGTTGATTGTCTCACTTGGTTTACCAGGAGGCTAAAACTAACTTTTTTGCCTTTTTCTATTTGTGCAGGAATCATGCAGAAGGGTAAAGCACCTTCGTCATTATCTAACCAGCCTCTTTAGGAAGAGCACATACTGTGTCTGCCCTTTCCCATGGAAAGGTAAACCAGGGAGATGTCTGAAAGGCAAAAGGAAGACAGGATGCAAACTGCTGCCAAGCCCTCGTGGCATTGGGCTCCAGCCTTGGCAACCAGGGCACGTTCCAATGGCAATGAAATACCATGGCAGCAGAAGTTACTTTTTCAGTTTAATTATTTACTGAATGAGTGTATTAAAAAACATAAAGCTACCAGTCTTCCTATGGCACTTCCCCATACATACAGACTGTGGGCTGGTTCTCACTCCTTCCTATTCATAACACCAACATTCCAAGCAATTATATTATAGCTTTGGCACAGAAGCTGCCATTGCTGAGAAATAATGTATATTTTCAGCCAACTTTTTATTGAAAGGTGCTACAGTCTGATTCAATGAGGCAAAAAGATACATTGTTCTCAGTTGTAGCTCAAAGTGAACTCAACATATGCTTTCAGGAAAGGATTCTCTGTTTTATTTGTTGTGGTGGTTCTCTTTCAAGCATAGGAGGGCTGTTCACAGCACGATGAGTAGACACTCTCATTATGAGGAGCAGCTCTGCCACATCCAGCACATTACACACAAGAGAGCAATGGCTTGTGCAGATCCCAAAAAAAGGATATTTGTTACAAGCGGTTCTACTGCTGTGAGAGAAAGATACTCTCTTCCCTGTTTCTGTGCACTCAGGAGCCCAGTAATCCTTTAAAGACCAGACCCTATACTTTGTGATTTATTTGCTGAGTTTAGACCCTCTGTGAAAGTCAGAGCCAGGCCTGGAAGACAGTAGCATTCAGGGGAGGTAGGAGGGATGAAAGTTCAGGTCCTGAGCTAAAATCTCTAGGGTGAAAAGATAAGGATGATAGCCCTGAGTGCAGTAAAGGTTTCCTGCCTAAATTCCCCAAACATTAAAGGACCAACATTGCAATTTGCGGTCCAATCATTCTTGTGAATGGAAATGAAAGCATGATCAGTCACAACAACAGTGGTTGGTTGATGGCTTCCCCCACAAGAGTGGTGAGCACAGAAGATGGACCTGGTCAGCACTTCCCCCATGGAGCATTTTCCAAAGAGACCTTGTAAATCCATCAGAAAAGAACAATTTCTTGGAAGCTTTGCCATTGAAGTATTGTATCCTTCAGCAGTTTAGTGACTCTTTTCTCTTTTAATGTATCAGTAATGTCACTTGTTTGCAATCTTTTCTTTCTTTGCCACAGCAGGTTTGAATCCCAGTTGAATTCACGTCAGACATCTCTCTGCCAGAGATGTTTACTAACTGATTAATAGTAGCTCATCATTGGTCTCAAATTCAGTGGGAAGCCTTTTCAGTGACTCAATAACTAAATAACTACTCTAAAAATGCCTCTTGCTACTGCCAGATATCTTTCATTTCTTTGGCTCCAACAGTTTTGCAGAAAAACCCTTGACTCAGCTCACCACCACTGCAATTGTTACGAAATGAACAAAACCATCTCTTTACACATGATAGTATACATTTATCTGATTATATTTACATCAACATGTAAGTAATTTTAGAGTCTATAGAAAAATCGCAATGCTATAGTGAATTAAGCAGGATATTACTGTGAATTATACCAAATCTTTATTTTGCACTACTTTATTTTTGGGGGTCTTTTATAAGTGGGAAGGATCTATTGTCCTAGAAGCTTCACTTTCTGTACAGTCTGCAGAAAATAAAGTTGCATGTCTCCCTCTTTCATTCCATGTATATGAGAAAAGCTTAAACCACACCCACCTGTGCCATTCAGCTGAGCACCGTCAGCCCTTCTCCAGCTGAGCTCAGGAATGGGCACCCCCGTTGTCCCACATCGCAGGAGCACAGTGCTGCCCAGGATGGTCTTTACTTTGGCTACGGATGTATGTACAACAGGGCTTTGGCACTTCCTTAGCTCAACTTGGCTGAAGAAGACTCCTGCAAGGCTCCGGGGGGTGAAGCATTTTAGCCTGGGCTCAATGAATGCTATGTTAGGAGACTGGAAATTCAGGAAATGGACCATTTCATACAGACTGCAGTCACACACCCAAGGATTGTCTTGCAAGCCTGTCAAAATGTGGGCTGAGCTTGGTGGATCCTATAGCTGCCAGTTAGTAGAAGGGAATAGATATGGCTTGCTAAGGTATCTTTTAATCTGGAGCAGAAATCAGACTCTTTGAGTTCAAAGCAGGATATCATGAAAACATTGCTATTTATGCTCGCAAAGAAGCAAAACAAGAAGTTATTATAAACACATTTGGTCCCAGGATGGAAAAAACAAATAGCCATGGGGGAGGGTTGGTTTGTTTTTGGGTGTGGATTTTTTCAATATGAAGAGACTATGGAGTCTTTTCCTTAGACAGGCTAGGAAATTCTTCTCTCTGGAGATTATTAAAATGTTAGCCAGATTATCAGCCCAACCGTCAGGACTGCAATAGGTGTAGGTGATCCTACTTGACTGTAAGAGTTCTCTTCCAGCCCTGTTATTTGAGGGGTTTTTTCACTATTTTAGTAATCTGTTGTTTTTCCTGAAATGCTGGTTTACACTTGATAAGATGAAAAAACTGTTTTAAGAGGCAAACTTAAGAATATACATGTTATGATATATAAAAGAACACAAATAGACTATCACTATATTAAGAATACACACATAGAAAGGGGTATATTGAAGAATACTCTCCTGCTTCAGAGTCCCAGAATATTTTGCTTTTTCTTTTTTCTGCTATCTCAGAGTGTACTTATTGAACTCAAATTCTGAAAAAAATGAACCTTTACTCTGTTAAAAATAGACCTGTGAAGATGGTACTGAAAAAGCAAAATCAGAAGTAGGGCAAAGTGGGAACAGAAATTGCTGCATTCTGATTAAATCTGTGTCATCCTACTTACAAATATTCACATTCATCTGTCCTGTGGACAGTTAATGGTCCCTAGTGACTTTAGCTAGCAGAATTGGTGCTGGGGATATTTGCACCACCTAACCCCATTTGCGCATTTGAAGTCGAAACCAGGAGCATGGTGTCCCAGGGCTCCCGCTTGCCGCGGGAGCAAGCTCTGCTCCCTCCAAGGGGCTTCACCTCCTCTTTTCCACAGGCATGGCTCGGGGCTGGCAACTGCCTGAAAGAAAAGAGTACTGATACTCCCTCGATTCCCTGTGGGAGGAAACAACAGCTGCCCACCCTGCGCTGCCCACTCCTGCTGGCCCCAGGCACGCTGCAGCAGTAATCATGCAGGCAGAGGCTTTCCAGCAAGAACAGGTTTTGACACAAGCACAGAGGGTGCACCATGAGGCTCCGTGAGCATCAAGGAAGTGCCTGGATTTGCTAGAGTCAATAGAAATACTGGGTCAATCAAAAGCCTCTGAGGCCTCCAATAAACTGTTTTAAAGACTGCTGAAATGTCTCTTGCTGAGAACTTTGCATACCATCCTAGCCAGGCTTGGAAGGGGATCTGAAAGTGGTGGAATGTGATTGGAGGGCTTTTCTTATAAATTAATGTATTAAAGTTAAGAGGACTATAAAGAATGAAAGTCCTGACCCAGATTTTATGTCAGTGATGGCTTTATTCCTCTTTATTTTGGACATGATAAATACCCATCTTTTTCTTTAATGCTGTTTAAAAAGGATCAATTCCATAGTTATCGTCATTAGAAAGTTCAGAGCTTGGCTTTGTTGGTTTATGGCATTTTTGCTTCTGACTTCATACACTAGATAGATAATAATTTATTCCAGATTCCCTGGCAGGTGCCCCAGCCCCAGTTGATGCCACGGCACCCCCAAAGCCCTAGTGAGCCCTTTGCTGCCCAGCATGGCACAGTCCCTCAGGCTCATGTGGTCAATCCTCGTGTGCAAAAGCCTGCAGCCTTGGCACAGACCGCCAGCCAGCAAGCTGCCCCTGGAATTACTTCTTCTTGAAGTAGTCTACATGAAAGGGCTCTGAAGAGGAGTCACAGTGGTGCTCTGTAGACAAAGGAAGGGACTGGGCTGACTCTTTATTATTCGTGGATTTCACACCTCCATACGAAACAGTTCATGGGCAGAGCGAAACGGAAACGTGCAGCCGTATTGTCCCATTCTGCTCCTGCGAGGGACATGCGTTTCATATACCTGTTCCCTAAGGGCGTCAGCAGGATAGGACACAGAAGCCAGAGTGTTAATACCGTATTAATCTTAGCATTATACTCATTTGCCTGCATGAATTTTTTAGGATCCCAGCAGAAGCTAACAGTGCATGGCTGGCTACGTAAATGCTCAGACTGGCCATGAGCGTCAAGGCATGATCTGTTTCTCTCGACAAAATACTGTCCTAATCTATATTGAATGGAATAACATTTTTACGTGTAACTTGACTCTGAAGAATAAATAAAGAGTATGATCTAGGCAATGTCTTGTCACGCCACAAATGAAACAGGCAATCCCAAACAGCCAGCTTTGGCTTAAAGAACTTGATATCCCATCTGGCAAAACAAGATGACGAAGCATCTGCTTCTCTCCTGATGCTAATGAAACTTTAAGCAACATGTGCTAAGGACACTAAAAGTTTTGTATGTGGCAATTTGAACCTTTTAAAAGTCTTGTGTCTCTTTCCACTGTGCTCTGGTTTTAAAACTTTAGTTTTGAAAACTTTACCCCCCTAAACGTATCCAGAGAACAAAGAGCAGTTGATACTTCCCGGAGTGAGAGACAACTTGCAGTATCTCTGACGAGATTATCAGCACGTGCCTGAACTCACATTGGTGGCTGTAGAGGCAGTACCTGCACAGGCACACACCCTGCAGATCAAAGACTGTCCGTGGAGCTGGGTCAGCTCATAGCGAGTGAAGACAGCAGAAGGCAACAACACTGAACCATCACCAACCTGCTGTGGATTTGAACCTGTGTACGGTGGCTAAAAGGCTGAGAAGTAATGCCCTGAACTAGTAAATGTGCTCGAAAACTCATCTGGGGATACTGCAACTGAGAGGACTCAAGACAGTCATTGGTAATATGCCCTCCGACAGAAAAATGGACAGTTGTCCCAAAGCCATACTTCTGAGGAGCCCAGATTTGTCACCAAAAAGTGGATTCTTGTAACTTTGTAGCTGCTCTTGAAGGCAGCATTATCTTCGTGGCTTTGGGGGGACTAGGGTTTAATTTTGTGTGAACAGATAAAAAAGGCTCTGGAAAGAGACAAACTGACAGTCCTGACCCGGATTTTACGCTCAGTGATGGCTTTATTCCTCTTTAATTTGGACATAATAAATATCCATCTTTTTCTTTAGTGCTGTTTAAAATGGATCAGTTCCATAGTTATTGTTATTAGAAAAGAGCACATGGATGATGTGGACCCCTAATAATATCTGTATTTCTGTCAAAAATGGCAGCATCAATAAATAAAAAGGGCTTGAGCAAGAGTCATCAGCTTTGTGTCACAAAGATTCAAGCAAGTGATGAAGTTTATGGTGTCATAAGCTGGGTATGGGGA